GACATATGGAATAGTTTTGTGCAATTAATACTCAGTCGGTAATATAGAAAGATGTAATGCTATTTTAGCTTGAAAATTGGCGGGCTTTTGAATTTACTTCCACAAAATATAAGAATTTTACATTTTTAATAGCACTGCTTAAAACACATGATTTTGATTGTGACTCATTACTAATTTACTACTTATAATTTCTTTAATGGCTAATTAAGATTTTCTTGCTTTTTGTAATGAAAATACTTTACATTTATTAAGATTATAAAGCTTTGTTATTCACATATCTAGAATAATTATCAAAATGAATATCAGAATTAAATTTTTGTTAAGCATTTCAATATTTGGGAATAACACAATTACGATTAATATTCATTTTTTTTTTCAGAAAAAAATTATTCCTTACAAAAAATTCTGCTTGTTGAAGAAAATTACAAGAAAAAGTTTCCTTTTAAAGTTATGAAGGAAAACTGAAAGGAAAACTGTGACTTTTCTTCGTAAAATCAATAAGGTAATACAGATTTTTTGCTTTTGTCAATTTTAAGTTTCTTCATTTATTAAGACCATGTACACCTGACCTAACATATTAATATATAGTAAACCTATTTTTTCGTCAAACAGAATTTTTTTATAATAAATTTTTCCATAAAATAAAAATAAAGATTTTTCCATTTTGTCAACTCCATACGGGAGATGTTTAAAATATAACATTTTACTTTAAATCTTAATAATATACCTACATAAGTAAATATAAATTGACGCTAAACTTTATGTGACGTTAACTAGGCACCTACCTACATCTTACTAATAGCTTTATAACTGACAAACTGACTCATAAACTAGGATTTTTTTAAAAGTATACCATATATACCTAATAAGATCTTTAAGAAACCGAAAAAATCTTTTAATACAGTTTATTCATATAGTTTTTTGCTGCACAACTTTGCCCAGATATAGCAAAACACTTAAAAGTTAACAAATTAACACTGGAAAACAACTACTATATAAAAAATGTCAAAAAATATCTATAATTCTAAAAAAATAACAATAACTACATAATACAAACATCACAAACAAAATAAATTTAAGATATACGCTACTGATTCCGTGCTACTGCAACTTGTTTGTTTTTGTGGATATAAACGACGACAGTGACGCCACTGGCTTGATTGAGAGGTTGAACCCCAAAATGGCGGTGTGCGCATAGCGTTGCCGTCAAGACAAGTTAGCCTGCCGATTGTTTATTATGCCGTGTCGACAAGGTGATTATGTTACCTTTTCTTTCCACGATACAGCTAACCTACAAAAATCAATAAATGATAACGCGTGACACCTGAATTGCCGTGGGTCACATAGTGCCGTGGGCACATACTTTGATTACTATACGAGGCAAGAGAGAGGTCCGACACGCCCAACATAGGGCGCTGCCATTTTGAACCCTGTGACACAGTTTACAGCTAAAGAATCAGATCGCTCACTCTGCGTCGGCACTTTGGATCTCAATGTTTCAGTTTATACGCTGTGCAACTCGGATAATACAATATATGACAACCGCCTATAATAAAACAGCAGTCTTCTGCGTATCCTGAATTTGTATCCCTGGAGTGGATGTTATTTTGGAACTTTCAACTGGTCCGAGTGAGCTAACTGATTCTTTAGCAATAAACTGTGACTTCAAAAATAATATTCACTGACACTGACAGCAGCAAGCAAAATATCAGGTGCGTTTTAATCATCCGCTTCTGCTTCCGGAATTGTCGGTTTAGTCGTTTTAACCTGTCAGATTAAAACAAGAAAACCGACAATTCCGAAGCAGAAGCGGATGATTAAAACGCACCTAATAAAAATATTGCGCCAAGATGTAGGCAACACGTAATAAGGGTTCAAAATGGCGGAGTTTTCTATCTCCTTTTAAAAGGCACTCAGAAAGCTGCGCAGTGCGACCATTCTCCGTATAGTAAAAGAAAATCAAAGTATGTGGCCGTGGGTAATGATTGATGGGATTGATTAGTTGAGCTGTAACAAGCGGAGATGCTGACGCCCGTCTCCATATTGTTTTCGCCCTAAAACGACCAGAAGTACTTCTTAAATCATCTAAACACCAGCTTTTCGAATTGCTTAAAACACCCAAGCCATACCGGCAAAGGGATACCTGAAAGGGTGAAATAAAAGCTCTGAAGAAACTTACAAAAAAGTGCAAGATATTAGTAATGCTAAAAAGAAATATTTACTAAACTTTGCAAAATTTCATCATTATTATCACAATCTACCTGTATCCAATAATGTTAAAGACACGGAACCTGAACCTTCCATAGAAGAGTGACACAGACATTGAATATTATGACTAGTATGTAGACAGCTAAAATAAGCAAAATGACGTTTTTTTTTCTAGAAATCAACAGATTCTTAGTTTATACTTTGTGAAGACTAATTATCTTTTGAATACTTTTTTTTTCATTGTTGTTGTTGTTGTTTTTTAAAAAAATTGAAGCTTTTACTGATTTTAAAATCAATTTTAAACTTTTGAACAGCGTTTTCTCGAAACTCTAAAAATGTTAGTTATTTTGTTTTTGCAGTAACCCGATAGGATTTATTTATGTTTCGTGTTTTATTTATTAGAAATTCCCACTAACTAATTTTAAATGGATGGCCTAAATAAAGGGTAACCATCGAAAAATATTGCGGCCCGTGTAACATAGCAAATTTGCGTATGTGGCCCGAATGAAAAAAATGTTAAGTATGGCTGTTTTAAAGGATGATTTTTATCTGCTGCATCTATGCGGACTTTGCTTGGTTGGCGTTTTTAAAGAACACTACAGTCCATCTTCCAACACCAAGTGTAGTTAAGAACATCTGCATACCCCTATCTGTTTTTCGTTTACTTGAAGGTGATACTCGAATTATTGCTTCCGTCTGGATTTATTTGGTTTATTCTTTGACGGTGTCGTTTTGTGGAAATGGCCTTAACTAAGCTGTCATAATTTTTTTTCGCTCGACGTAAATTTCCTAAACTTATTAAACATTACTTTTTTATCGATATCAGTTATAGTATTGCATTTAAGAAGTCCTTTTGCTACTGTTTTGCATTTACATCTGCCTTTGATTTTTCTAGGTTGCTTCGGTTCGCTATAGTTCCATTTGCCATTCTTTTTAATTCTTCTGCAATATATTCTCCCTTTTTCTCTTAACAGCTTATTTTTTTCGGTGAACCAGGTGGATTTATTCACCTGGAATTTTTTTTACGTTTAACACTTTTTTTTTGGATAATCCGAATCACAATTTGATGACATCCCAGAGTGTTTTGAATATGGAACTAATCCTCTTGTACTTTGGTCAGAGTCGGAAATAGTTTCACTCTCCTCAAGACGCTCAGAAATAATAGTTTTTGTTGATATCGCCTTATCCTTGTCAAACAAACTTTCTGGCGTCACGTAATTATTATTATTGTTAGTGGTAATTAATTCGCACATAGTGTCTGTAATAGATTCTTTATCACGTATCTGTTGTGATAGTTGATTTTTATCACTAAATATGTTGCATGCACTCTTACTAATATTATCCAAATAAATACCCTCTGAAATGTCCAATACTTCGAATAAAACGTTTTTCACAATTTCCATTTGTAAATTCTCGATAGAAAACAGACTATCAAGGTCCTCATCTGAACTTGGATTTTAGCTGCCAAGTCATTCTCCATTAGTGGATCAATGGAAGTAGCTGTGATAAGTACGGCTTCGCTGCTATCATTTGAGAAGTTGCCTTCTATTCGCGCCATTTCCACCATTTTTCGAGTTCGGGACATCCTGAAAGAAGCACATCAATCTGATTCACTATAGAAACACTGCTATCTCCATATGAAAATAATAATGAAATAAAAAGAATAACTTCTATCTCCATAACAGATTATGAGCTACGAAATAATGCTTTTTATAATTTTTTAGATCTGGAATTTGTATAATAGGTACTACTATTGTATTTAGATTAGATAGTAGAACAATCTTATGGACGTTTCATTGGAGGCAATTCTGTCGCGACATCTATTAAAACAAGTACAGAACTTCATCAAAATGGCCCAAGGACTAGCGCTTCCTCGATCATTGAGTATAAAATTCTACATACATAAGTTTTTCTTAATTTTTAATTTCATTTAGGTAGATTGCCAAATTTAAAAAAATATTGTTCATATTCTATAAAATAATGATAAACCGTAAATAAATGTTTATTAAGCATAATTACACTCGTATATCTCATTTTTAAAACAAATATTCTGAATCTATTAGTAAATAGAGAAATTATGTTCGTTATTCAGTTTCGACAACCGTTCGATGGCTCGGTAGAAGACGACAAAATTATCAAAGACATGACTTGGGCACCACGGAGCTTGCTGCCATCTATTGATAATGTCCATTGTCTTCCAAGATAATTTGCATTGGTATTGTTCTACTAGTTGATCTAAATACAGTGGTAGTACGTACTAACTTTCACAGTTTGTATCAACTAACAACCAAAACTTATTTAACAAGACTAATTTGCTCAGCAAACGCAACTAGCAGTGTTGACTTCACAGGTGGTCCAACAAAACTAACGTCTTTCTAGGGAGATAGCAGATTTTAGGTATAGAAAATATTTTGTGCAGTCGAAATTGACTACTTCTGACTTGAAATGTACCTGTATGTTGATCGGACATAATGCAAAAACTAATAATAAATTGAACTCTATTAAAATCTCATTTTAGGTAAAAAGTGGAGATAGCATGTTAACACTCTTAGCCAACGATATTACTTGGAGTAGAATTTCTTTATGTGTTACGCTCATATTGCCCAAACTCCTAGAATCAGAAATAAAGTTCGCCTTATTCTCCTATAGTAACATATTTTATGTAATGGTGGGAATATAAATAAAATACGAACTATCGAAATTAGATATATAATATATATAAATAACAAAATCAAAATTACAATTCATTCGAGTTAACTTTACAATTTATGAACTCACATGTACATTAGCATTGTATAACTCCAGTACAATATTAGGCTTTAACTATATAAAAATCAGACCATTTATTTTGTGTGTATATTTATTGTGCGTATATTGTATATAAATTCTTTGGATTTGAAGTTACTTAGAAAATCAGTCATTATGGGAATATGGTCCCGCTTGTCGCAGAGCATGAGCGATTCCACTTTTAGATGAAATTTCCCTCGGTTCTGATTTAGGCACAAATTTAGGTATAAATATGAATGCAAGAACAGCCCCTATGTGAAGACACCAATACATCTTATTATATAATACAACAGATGAATAAAATTCTAGAGAGACAAAAGGGAAAGTAATATAAGCAAGAACAAAATGTGTAACAGCAAATGTAATAAGATCATATAAAAGTTTTGTTTCTCTACTATCCATGAAATAGTTTCGGACGTATCTTCGTACTTGCCTAGCTGCAAAGGTAAATAGAGCGCCGCTCAGGAATGTGAGATAATACCCCGGATAAAAACCATGCCATAATGCAGACAACAAGTAAGTAAAAACAGTTGGATATCTTGTTACCCTTTCGTACACAATCATCCTTAACCAAACGTTTGTCCCTTTGTTCCAAGATTCTATAGCTTGCTTTAAACTCGTCGCAAATTCAAATTGTAAAATGTCCACATTTGAGATTTTATCCCACTGTTCTATACCATCTTTAGAGTATCCTGAAAATCCTATACCGCTATTATTACAGATTGCATCCGCTATCGTCCAAGCGAAGTAATACTTAAATCTCACTAATGTTGTACTCACAGTCAGGTACCAAAATTTATAACTAGTGCTAGTGTTTTCCACAAAATTTTGATCTTTAACACGGCTTATTGGAAATCTAGGAAGAAATTTAACAAATATAAATGCACAGAATAATGCTATCGTTACTTTTTTGATGACGGCCTTAATGGGACTTGGCTCATTTACAACTTCTGAACTCGTTGAACTTATTGGAACTTTTACGTAACTGTTACCCTCTATGAAATCTATGTAATCAGTATAAAAAATCACAGGGCCGGCCATTAGGGAAGGAAACTGTAAATTATAACCAAAATATTCTATAAAACTTGGTGTTTTGTATATAGCGTGGTACTTCTGACTGTGTGTCATTTCTAGTTCTGATTTGGTAAGACCATCGTGAAGGCTAAATGCTAAAGAAGAAACTTTTTGTGTAATGACCATAAGCGGACCGCTAATGTCTAACCCAAATGATCCATAGTCGTAGATTTGACGATATAGATGGACGCAGGATAGGTACAGTAAGGCCACTGCTAACACCATGCCGTGCATTATATGAGGATTATGGGTCAAAATAACCTAGAACAAAAAAAAATAGTATTATTATTTCGAAAAATATTAAATCTTTATACAAATAAGATTTTATGTCACACAATATATTTGGGCAATAACAAGAGAATTGGACAAATATGTTGAGAACAGTTTTAGTTGCAAATTTAGAGTTAAACTGTTATCACCGTTAATAGTGTATTTTCAAAACTTAAGGACAATACACCAATGCTATCTTGGACTGATGTAGTCTACGCATCCCTTGTGTGGATTGTAACTCATTATACATAGGTTGAACTACAAAACCATTAAAAGAACGCATAACATTCCACAAGAGCGATTGTAGACTGCACCCAGAAGGTTGTGAATTAGCATAACATGCAATTTCGAATAATCATACCTTCAACTTCCAAGATAACAAAGTTTTAAAAAAAGAGCCTCGCCTAGACAAAAGACTTTTCTTAGAAATGGCACATATTGCTCAAAATGACTGCATTAACAAAAGATCTGATATTAAACATCTCAGTGAAATTTTTGCATACTTCTTGCTCTTGGATAAAAATCTTTCTTCCCGTACCAATTTAATTAATATCAATAATTTTAATTTAACTGATATTTAATTCATTTAATCACTAAAACTCTTATGCGAGCTTGCTTTTCTGAAAACAGTTTATCAAATTTCTTACAAATAGTCTTCAACAATATTTGGTAACATTTCAATTTGTCTTAACTTTAACATTGAACCTAACCACCAGAATATACGATAATTATGTTTCTCTCCGAATCATTAGCCCCCCACTGCCCCCTCTACGAGTTCAAGACGTGGTATGCCTCATTAACCGATCATTCATTGAACTCTCACCAGTTTTAAGTTCAGGAAATAGACATGGTTTTCGTCATTAGTAAAATTAACTGTTTCATTATAAATGCCATAATTTTATTCTTAAATCAATAATTTAAAGCTTTCAGTAATCATTCTCTTTAATTTCAATTGTATATGATATGTGCGCCTCCCATTAAGAAAGAGTGAACGGGAATAAAGTCTCATTAGCATTATACAACCCCCTTTGATTTGAAATAATTGGCTGTAGGACCTCATTAGCCCCACACAAAGTAAATTCTTCATTTTGGCAGACTGACTTAATGACAGACGCACGCACCATGAACTTGACAATAGCACATGTTTTAAATAATTGTATAATCTCAAAAGTTTAATAGTTCGACTTAAAAACTAGTTAGTTGTAAAATTGTAAATAATTTTGAAAAGTTTTATTAATAATTTTAATGCATCGTCTAACATGTTTTTGTCAGTTTATATCTAGTCTAGTCATAATTACTATAATAATTTTCACCAATTTCATGAAACAATCTCACTAAGTTCTAAGTAAAAATATTCATGAATTGTTCATAATTCAAATTTAACTTTGTCCTTTAAAAAATATTTATAGATCCCTGAAGATAAATGTATTCACATTCGAAAGCTTGGAATAAACTTATAAGAGTACACATATCGTTTTTTGCTAATTAATTACGGTGCAGATGTGTTGACCATGTTCATCCAACTCAACCTAAAATGACAGCACAATACTATTTTAGGTCTTTAAAAATACGCGGTTTCTTGGAAAAATATTACTCTATCAAAATATCAAAAACCAATATTTAGCGCAAAATTCCGGATACAAGTTTTAGTACGAATGATTCAGTACATTAGTGTCATTAAAAATAATTATAAATTATTAGTAACAAGACCTCTAAATACGTTTTTTAGGTCATTAAAAATGCGCGATCCCGCTGATAAACTTTACTCTTTCAAAATAAAAAATAAACAATATTTAGCACAAAAATCCAGATATAATTTTTAGTATAAATGACTCGATACATTACTATAATTCAAAATATAAATCATTACATAGCAAGACATCTAAATACTTTTTTACGTATTTAAAAATGCTCGATTTCGCAGAATAACATTACTATATTAAAATATCAAAAACCAATACTTAACACGAAATTCCACATAAAGTTTTTAGTACGAATGATTAAGTATATTAGTATTATTCAAAAACAAAATAATTCATTTCATAGCAAGACCGCGAATTCGTTTTTAGGTCTTTAAAAATGTGTGGTTGCGCTGATAAGCATTACTCTTTCAATAAATAAATAAAAAAACAATATTTAGCACAAATTTAGATATAATTTTTAGTATGAATGACTCAGTACATTAGTATAATTCAAAATAACTATAAATCACTACATAGAAAGAGCTCTAAATACTTTTTTTAGGTTTTTTTTAAAATGCGCGGTTCCGCTAATAAACATTTCTCTTTCCAAATAAAAAAAAATCCATTTATATTCACCCTACGATGCCACTCTAGCAGGATGCCTAATGGCCATAATTGAGCCATAATTCTACGGAGGTTAGCCGAACCTCCCGGCTTTTCAGATTTATATTAAGCGAACTTTTCAGTCTACCCTTGTTTTTTCACAATTAAGATCAATCTTTATAGCACCTCGGTTTTAAATATTTTTATGACTTAATCAGATATCCGTGGTAAACAAACAAGTAACTATTACAAATAAAGTAAACAAAGTAAAATTATGTCGTTATATGTTAGACATAAATTAAACAATCGACTGCAATTTTGTTATTACAAGATCAATGTTTAGGAATTACGCTTTAATTATGAACCAGCCATTTGCTTTTATTGTGAGCTTACGTTAAAAGACAGTTAAATCTTTAACTTTATAAACAGATTTTATTACGGTATGGTCCATTTTAATGGATGAACCTACTTATGCTTATTAATTTAAAACAGAGCCAGTCATAAATAATTTTGTGCGTCAGAAATGTAGAGAACTGCAGACATACAGGGTGATTCAGTAAGTCGGGGCGCCCTAAATTTTAACACCAAACCAGACGCCGCGCCAGGTCTCAGAAGCCCCTGATAAAAAAAAATATTTTGTTATTAGTGCGACATATTTATGTGGGAGAAACAACCTTTATTTAATACAAAAATCATATAGAAACCAAATACACAAATTACCCAAACAGAACATTGCAGAAAAATAACATATATTTTTAAGAAAGTAAACAAAAAAAATTACAGGAAAATTAATTATTTTTTATATACACGAGTTAATATTTATAGTAACAAAAGTTAATGCTTCTTGATTTTATGAAATCATCATTGTGTACACCAAGCTTTAAGTTAAGATACATTTAAGACACTTTTGGCAATAAAATTTATATTTGAGTATTTTTGGCAAAAAAACATTTTCTAGTTCCTGTCGAATTTCTGGATTCTTTATATTTTATGTACCAGCAGCATCCTGTCTTCTCACTTTCTGTAAGCATCGAGTTAAAAATAACGATGCATGTTGCCATCACGTTCGCTTGGTCACGTTGCCCGTGTACACGTGTGCATTAGCACAGGTCCGGCATTTAAATTTAAACTATATTAAGATGTATGTGTTATGTTTAAATGTATTTTAAACATCCACACTCCCTTCATATTGTGAGCCATTTTGGGATCCAGTCCAGCGAAACATTCATTATCAATATTTTGTACCCACTGATCAAATCTCACAATGTCTTTTACCGGATTTAAAAAACGATGGTTAATCAAATTAGCGAATTTTCGCGCACTTTGCAATACAACACCAAAGCATTGCAAAACAGGAAAGAAAAGTCACAATTTTACGAAAACAACGAAAATAAACACAAGCCGAACACAAAATTTAAGTCAGCCAACTTATTTTTATGCAGTAATACCAATACCAATGGAATATTCAATTATTGGTTAAATTTTATACTAACGCCATCTAGTGTTTGGAGTAAATACTATAAGAAATGTCATTGTCGGTTTTGTAAAAGTTATTGGAGGCAATCGCGCCCGACATCTATTGGTACAATCATTGAACTAACGATTTTATTTACTGGTTAGATACGTCAGATGTTAGAACTTTATAAGTGGCAATTCCGTCAAACTAATTGTCAGTATATATTTTTTTAGTTATTTAGATTAAATATAAATAAAAATTAGTAAAGAATCAATAAATAATAGCATTCCACAAGATATTCGTCTATATTTAGAAATAAACTGAGATTTTAATGAAACTAAAAGCAATCTGATTATCAGCGTTAAAAAGTAAAACTTTTTCATAACGAAAGTTTACTTGTCTATGAATCGAAGGGTTCCGAGTTCAAACTCACGAGTGGACACTTTTTTTTATTATTTAATTTTATTTTCTAAATTGGTAAAACTTAAATTAATTTCAAAACATGAATTTTACGTTAATGACATCTAAATCTTCATGCTTAAATTTCGTCTTTTTGCTATGGCCACTCGGGATCATCAAATTATAATAGAATATTATAAGGTCCGGTAATTTTATTTAAATCTTTTGACAATGAAACTAAAAATGTGTGTGTCTAAAGGAGAAATATACCGAAAATAACAAGTATTTAAATTTTGCTAATACATTTGTATTAGGTATGTGTTAAAAGAAAATACATCATTTTGGATTTAAATATACAGTGTGTCGCAAAATGTCTGCACCAAGAAAACGCACGAAATTACATTTTTCTTTAATCTACGTAAAAAAGTGCGAATTAAAATTTTTTTACTGAAAATTTATGGTACCTAACAGGGTTATTCATTATAAATTACCCTCCCTTTATGCTATAATTATTATTGTATAATGTTTACATTGACCGAATTTTGTAAAAATGTCATCAAATGACCATATCAGTGGTGTGCATATTTCACAGGATTTAACATGAATATTTTTTAATAAGGATAGCATAGATATATATTTTATTCAATTTTCGAAATGATCTTTATTCTTTCCTGATTAATTAAACGTCGAATATCGTAGATAATCTATGTCGAATATCTTATAAATATTTACACTTTTTCTTTCTCACTGCAAACTACCTATTTGGATTATTTTATTATCAAACATAATAGTTGTGATTTTCATAGCTTTTACTTTAATAATGTTAACTTTTTCATGTTTACATTATCAAC